TAGTCACAAACAGTGAAAACTAGCACTGAAGTAGTAACATAGTGAGGTCTGCTTTCGGCTGTCACAAGTGCAAGGTATGAAGACCTCCCATTTAAAAAAGGCAGTAAGTAGGACCGAATACATGTAATCAAGGCGACACAAGGCCAAGATAAATGCCAATCACGTAGCAACAAGGCAGTGTATTTGCTTTCACTAAATCTATGGGTAAGAATGGTAGTTTGTCACTGATTTAAAATACACGTAAGTTGAAATCTCACTGAGGATTGACTTTAGTAAATTGGATCAGACAAAATGTTTTTGAAGGGGCGGGTCAGCATTTTGTTGGACATTTCTCATTGAAAAGTTGTACTTACGATGAAAAATCGGATTGTGATGACATGTAAATTTCCGCTAATGATTATGCCTAGAGGTCCGTGAGGTGGGAAGTTGTCACCAGAAATCAAGCGGCGATCTAATGCATCATGCATGCTAATCACTTTTGATAAGTAGACTGATTATTCAAAAAGCGCCCTCGTCCTCCCTTTTGACGTGTACAGTGTTCTCAGGCCGTTCTCACATCTCAATGTCTTCCGCCCTAAGTACAGAGTTGAACACTTTTATGTTTGTGATTAAAGCCTTTGGGTTTCGAGTGTATTGAAAGCTGCTTTTGGCCTCCTCAAGCCATTTGCCAGTATCGGCAGCTTTCTTTCAAATGGGCTCGCCTCACTCCACTGCCTACGTAACTCTTTAAGCCTGTGGAGGAGTTTAGCCTTACTGTGATGTATTTCGGCGTCTATGTGTTACTCCTGGATAATGATTACATTGTTGACAGTGCCTGAAAGGAGGACATTCCAGCCTGCAAAGCAGACAGTAAGCTGCCGTTTGTTGTTCCTCACCATGATAGCGAAATGGTAAAAGCTGCTATTAGCTTGTATTTGTCCTCCTCAACAGTCCTTGCAAACCTATTTACTTATTTTGGAGATCTTAAGTCCAGCATATGACTTTAAACTTGATGATATTGCACTTTAGTTTTTTCAACTTTTATGGCAAGCCACCATAACCGCCTTACTGGTAACGCCTTTTAGTACTTCGTCTATGAAAAAAATCTATCTCTGAGGGGATATACAATGTAGAAGTTTGTATTTTTAACCTTCATTTTTTTGTAAGAAAGTCACTTAGTTACTTCTCCATGGCCTCTAGACCATGCCGTTAGCCTTGGCTGTGTCGAATTCGGACTGTGCCCAAAGTGAGAAGTTTTCTCGACACCGGGAAAGCCTCAGAGTGCTACAATTATGATCAGCAAAAGTAAGGTCTTCCCATGTGCCCACTTCTAGCGCCAATTTAGTGATTTTTAAGGTCTGGGCCGCAAAATATTCATGTAGGTGTTGACGTTGAAAAGGACCACAAGTGTATTGAAAGTAACAATGAGTGAGATAGAGTATGTGGAAGATGCTCAACATTTGACCATTTTCAAAACCTTTCCTATTCAAAATACTGCTAATTTTGGTTGTGACGACAGAAAAAATTCAAAACTTATATGCAAGCTGATCACACTACACAATATTAAGGTGAATAAACTCATCTCTTCGTGAATTTGTGTTCACCAAAAATGGGTGTGAAGTACACAAAAGAGTCATGCCTCGGAGCGATTACTTAAACCCTTTTAACGCTTCTAACTGTAAACTTCATCCCAACATAAATATTACAATGCAAAAAGGTATCGCATTTGCATACACTCACAATTTGATAGTTTACTGACTCTACTTGAACACCGCAGATAGTGTTGGAGGCCTTTATCCAATTTCCACAAACTTTACGGGAAATAAAGGAAATAATTTTATGTTGATAAGACTCTCCAAGCATTTACTCTCCAAGTTACATTTTATAGTGCTTATACAATGTCTTTTGTCTAACAGCTGAATCTAGCGTCAAAGCTCGAAGAGCGTTCAGCTGAAATTTTTATAAGAGAATGTTCACTTGAGTTGAGCTTTATTTTACCACACTTATGGAGTATACTACGACGCTTAAAACGCCAAACCGTTGTTGAAATCAGGATTGCAACACAATTCTGTTCGGTTGAGTTTACTGTTGGACACCAAAACGCATTCCCATATCTGCCTAACAGCATGAACACTTGCTGATTTAATGAGCAAATACCGTGACTTCTTGGGACTTCAAAGACAATGGGCCTTCGAGATGGCTTGGAGGCCAGCTCACTTCGCAGAGCCAATATGGCCACCCAAGTGACTGCCGATGATACCGCCAGCCAAGCAAGCAAATTCGTACAAACACAAATTCGCTTTTGCAAAATGGGCTTCTTGAGTGTGTCCCAAATTATGTCAACAAGTTTGCAATAAACCCTGTCTGTCCACGATGGGATGACCAAAATCCATCCAATGCTCTGGCAACGGTTCCAGTTGACCCAGTTGACCCTCACTAGGGGAGGCGCAGTCGAATGTGATGCTGCAGTGCCTCGGAGTGATTTGTTGAAACTAGTGGCTCATTCTTATGACTACGTCGTTTCAGAAACTAGAAAGCCATCCTGTTCCTTTCTCCAAAAGTTTCGTTTCGCCTAAATCGCTGCTACTTCTTTCTCCTGTAATGGTACTTTCAATGCCACACTACTGGTTTCAATCTTGCTTAAACTAAAAATGGATAGACTTCGAAATATTACTGGTACCAGCAGTGTCTTGTAACTTAAACTTTACCGTAAATCCCTGGACTCATAGCACGCCCTATTCCTAAGTAAGGCGCATTGCAACCCACTTATTTTTTGTCAGTAACTTGGTGACAGACGGTAATACTTAAGTTAAGTGGGGTGGAGAGGCTTGCGCTACATGCATTAACTGCTCAGGTGGCGTTGGAGCCGTTAGCCGTCACCTCCTTCGATGTGGTATTAATAAGGAAAGTGATCTAGATATTCTGAAAGGTAACAGTGTCAGAATGCAGCTTGTCGCCTGGACCATCAGTGTGATAAAGCAACCTGAGTTCATCGGACTTGGCCACCAGCAGATGCGCCGAACCATTAATTGAACCTTGTCTCCCTTCAAGTAGTAAGTCAATTCAGCTAGGTTCCTGTGATGACGCAAGCTCAACCTGATGGAACCAAATAGAAATGGGTTCTTCCGGACCAATGGAAACCAAGCCTCTGGACCATCTTATTAATCCTTTTTTATACCATCTGGTACAAAACCCTTGGAGTGAGGCGCGAGTGAGAAATAGGCCCTCTATATTGCGCGACTAAAGAATTGAGGGGAGGAGAATGCAACTGAGAATGCTTTGTATGCTTTGTAAATTGGAAGCACAAAAAGATAAGGAGCATGCAAAGGGAATGGAGTCTGTGCAAGGAAGTGGTAAAAAAATAAATTTAAAGGACACAATTGAAATGTTTTTGATTATCGTTCTTCACAACTGTCGGCATTAATAGAAGAGGTTTGCATTGGAATGCGGGTAAGAACAGAGGTTGTAGGGACGTGGTTTCAGTTGCATATCCTCTCTGTCAGTTCACGCTAAACAAGGCACAAAAGGGAATCTGTCATACGGATAGCGACTGGATTCAATAGAGTGAGTAAAAAATTCACAGTCCGGAATCTTTGATCTAAACATTGCAAACAAACACTGCAAAGCTCGCAAATGTCATGGGTGATTGAAAGCCTTTAGTAAGCTGCAGTAGCAATGTTGCAGAATAGATAGATTGATAAAAGATACTTAAGTGAGCATGTAAGACCAAAATTAAACAGCTTGCTTGAGAAAGAGAAGTCTAGTTAGAAACATTTAGAGAAAAGAACTGTAAGCTTTCCCCCTTCATTGTGCCTGACAATGAATAAAAGTATGGCCCAACGCAACTGAAAGTCCATTGTTGATGCTCCTCGGAGAGCAAGCGCAATTTAACCATACTAATGATTAAGAAATTGACAAAGTTAACACTGATTTATAGTGGCGTAAGGCAAGGTTTAGAGGAAATTCAACATTTCGAATGAGTTGGGCGACAAACAGCCTGATGAAGGCAAAGTTTCAAAAATCCCACTGATAAAAACTCAGAAGTATGCGTGAAGAATCCAGTAGCAGTCAACCATCGTTCATAGATGTACGCAAACTTAGCCCAAATAAACCCGAAAAGCAGTGCAATCCAGCCCGAGAGAGGGAAGACTACACATGACTCAGCTAGGGCTTTGTCAAAAAGTCGGGTGACTAAACCTTGTCTGTAAGGCCTATGGAAAGTGGTCGCTCCAAAGTGCTTAAAGAGCCAGCTTGTTGCCAATTTGATTGCACAATTAGGCCTACCAAAACTGCACTGGACTAAGTCTGCGTTCCCTTTAAAGCAAAAAAAATATACACGCAAGCCAGTCCTGTTCAGCATCTGCGCAGAGAAGTGTCTAATTGATCAACGGAAAGCAGCTAATATATTTTGGAAGCAAAATGGCAGACTTTTATTGAGTTGTAACCGTTCATCAATGAAGTAGATCAGATAGTATGACTATAATCCCAAACCCTGAATCAGATTCTGAAAAACCGATAAGAAGATATTTAAATCAGCCTAGATAAACCATTTGTGGGAAAAAAAGCAGGATTTGAAAGGAAGTCCGCTGAAGTGCAAATGCTGATGGGCAGAGAGCGTCTCGTTGTTTACTTAGTCGACTTGTAATAAGCCATGCATCCGATTTTGCATGACAAACTGCCGACGCCCCTGTACACGTTAAACTTTCTCCTTGTATTAACAATGATGCCGTTGCGATGATCGGGGCAAGAAAACCATTGCGTACTGCCTACTTCAGTAATATGCTCGGGGACTATATCAATATATTCCACGCCTTGCCCCTAAGAAGTAACGGTGTTCAAAGCACCCATTTTTCCAATGATCGTGTCAGTAAGGTTCAATCGAAACCAATCTCTCCCGCCGAAGGTACTTTTATAAATGGAAGTAAAAGGAAAAGTAAATATCGCAACACCCAAAGAGTCAGAAATATGGTCAAAACGGGTCAGTGCAGCAACAAGATGAAACCGGATCCTTTATATAAAAATTAAAGGCAACAGACAAGGTAAAAATGACTTGCAAGGGGAGCCAGTTCCTTTGGATCGATGAGATCGAAGTAGGTGACGAAGTAGTAAAAGTGTTTGTAGCATATATTCACATGTGCTTCCGCCGATATCTCGACCAACCGATCGAAGTGATGGATGTATACATGAACAAACACGCGATAGAGCCTGCTCATGATTTTTTTTACAACACTCAAATAATTCTTAGGAAAAGGTACGTCCACAGACGTAGGGAAGATGTCAGGATTGTTGATCTGCTCCTCAATCCAATCCATAAGGAGACTGATGTAGAGCGGAGCAGGCATTGGGGTGGGTTTCCGATAACGATTATCATCGCGCCAATGATACTCAAACTTTTTGCCTCCCGTCATACGCGGGCAGGTTTCATCTGTACATCTGTCACAAATTGTGCCATATATGAGATTTATTCGATTGTAGAAATCGACAACTGGGAAAAATACCTTTGGATGATAAAGTTAATATACCATGCACGGCTATCCAGTCATTGAGTTCCTCATCGGGAGGCTTTTTTACAGCCTCTCGCAGATCTACACCGGCATTAAGGGAGGCTTCAGCTTGTTTATGAAGATGGTAATGTATGGTTTCCGGAGGAAATTTCTTTTTAGGCCTAAATGTCTAAAAACCAATAGTGCTTATGACCAAAAAACTTAAGCAATAGATGCGTTACGCACAAAATCTAGTGAGCACATCATAAAAACACTCGAATGCGAGGCATCAAAAGCATTCAATAAAGTTCATGCCTTACATGAGCAAACAGAGCGTGAAGTTTGCATACAGCCGAGATCACGTTAACCTTCAAAATACTTTTTTCAAAAGTGGAAGTAAAGCAAATGAGACCTTAAAAACGTGTTAAAGCGGTGTATCAGGGAAAGTCTGCAGATCAAAGACGCATGTAAATCCCAACTAATTTAAGAGAAATACGAAAAAATACTGAGAAGTATATTGGCAAATAACCTTTTGCTTCACAAAGATTTCCTTGAACCCCGTAAACGACATCAAGCAAGGACCAAAACGCAAGCAGCCGTCGAAAGACAGATTGACCGCGGGCAAAAGATGTCGAAACAAAAATCCCTGACCTTCAACGGCTATAATAACATAGATTTTCGTCAAGCTGGTAAAATTGGCTTAATATTTATAGCATATTTCACATTGGTTTAAAAATCGCATTTTGTGATAAAAGAGTGACAGATTTATTAATAATTTGATAGTATAAGATGATTTTATTGCTGTAGTCAGTTTTAGGACAAAACTGCCATGCAATCAGATGGCCAACTTTTCCACAGAACGATCGTACAAAGCTATGCATGTGCTGTAGAATCCTGGGACTTACCATAGGGTGGAAGAAGGCATAAGTGGGGTTGAATACCTGTATTTCAAAGACGACAGAGCAAATGGGCCTGAGAGTGGCCCGAAGGCCAGCCCACGTGTACAGAGGCCAGACAAATTCTAAAGTGATCGTCAAACGTCCGGTAGTCAACTGAACAAAGCATTATATGTGCGGCCATCTAATGTCCAACGGTTACTTTGGTGTTCGTTTTACCATTGCGCATGCGGGCCGGTCCTCGGACCGAAGCAAGGTCAAATCCCTTCTTCTTTTCCTGGACTACATGCATTCAGCCAAACTCTGTTTTTATACCTAGTAGGAAGTGGTTAAATTGGAAAGCGAACCCGATTTTTTAGCAACTGCTACGCCGGAGTTCATGTTTTTGGTGTGTAGCCACGTACGAATGAAGCACATATAATTCGGACGGAGGTTTTTCTAAATTCCTTACAACAGAAAGGTCGAATACTGCCTACCTTTGGCTCTATCTCTTTCTTTTGTTTAACAGCCAAGTGAGTAACAGCTGAAGCGACATTGCTGTAGGTTACCTTAAAGTTTAGTGTCGGCATTCTTCTTACTACACTTGCGTATGGTGACGGAAATGGCATTGCTTCGTACCACCCTCCATTTAGGATTGCGTTTGATCCCGTCTCGCCATCCTGGACACAATAGACTGTCAACAGAAACTCCTTTTCATACTCATTGTAACCGCAGATTCAAATGAAGCTGCTAAAAAGTAAAACACAAGCTCTTAGTCCATAGGTAGCTCATGACTGGCGCGCCTGGATCATAGATGCCTTTTTGCAGCATCGAATATGTTGTGATTGCTGACGTCGCTCTGCCTTGACTGCATGCATTCAGTTCATATTGCTGCCTTCTCCTACTTAGTGGATAGTCTTAGGATACTACAGCTACATCGCCTTAATCTTCATTCGAGTGAATTTTCGGGTTCCTCCCTGACACGCATACTGTAATGCATGCTGAGCTTCATAAAATGCTTTTTATCGGTGGAAGCTAAGAGGCCAATCTTAGCTGAATGCTTAACGAGCATGATGACTTCGTAAACATTATTTCTTCCATTCCTTCTTACTCTACGAGCTTGCAACTTCGAAATTTCAAGTAAAGCATTGCAGAAGAAATTTTACGGAAGGACCCTTGAAGCAGGGTTTAAAGAATGGAGAGGAGATTACACCAGTGGAAGTGTCGAGGTAACTCGTTCTTCGCCTCGGCCTTTTAATTGAGCAGCGGACTTTGAAAACTGCTTATTGGTTCCAATGGGCAGCCTCGGCCTACACAGCAGGACACAAAGTATGATAGCCTCTCTGTGTTCTCAATTAAACAATGAGTGTTGGAGTCTCTGCAACGACCAATATCGACTAGAACTGTAAGGCGTTATCATTAATCCACAATGTTAAAAAAACCTGAACAGTTTCTTGCATATGCTTTCTTTTACCGCTTCCGTAAACGCGGTGACCGTGACGAGAATTTTTAAGAAGTCTTCAGCTTCTAGCAAAACGTGCAGTGGAACCAAATTGTCGTATGGGTACCTGCTTTTTTTCAAAAATGGTATCTATATACAACCTTTGGCGAAACAACTCATTCTAGTAAGGAGGCGCAAGACAAACAGCATAAGCTCCAACTTCGCTAGAAGTTTCATCTCCCATCTTAAAAATTGTTTAGAATTTCCTGATCATGGTGCACCCCTAGGGTTACCCCGAAAATCCTTACGAATCCCATGCGTTCATAAGGGTGTCTAGCAACATGCAAGGTACCCATGCATTTTACTTTGGACCCACATGAGTCTTGGTCTTTGCTATATACGCTGGTTTCCTCGACTCTATCGCTCCGACGGCTCCGAAGCCACACTCCTTAGAAGGAAGAAATATCTTGCTAAAGGGAGTAGTTCCCATCAAATTCACGATTAAGAGATTTGGGTAGCTAAGTTAGGTGCCGACTTCCTACATCAGGCTCAAGTGTTCATGAGTTTGGCGGAAGGCACGTTAACGACTGAACAAAATCTTAAAAAGAGTGTCTCAGTTCCTCATCTTGGAAAAGACGCAGGCGACCGTTATTATGGCCAATTTTACTGACATCAATAGGTACTCAAATCTATTCTCTTGGGCAAGAAGAAATTAAGGCACACAAAAATTGTCAAGCTCACGATTGATACAAGAGGGGTTAAATTCGTAAGGCAACCATCCAGACGCATACCATTTCTCCAAGACAAAGTTCATCGCTCGATTAATATGATGGTTCAAGATGTCATAAAACCATCCAAGTCACCCCGGACCATTCCCAGTGGCGCTAGTAAAGTGAAGGCAGCCTACGTTTACGCGCACTGAACTCCGCGTAACGAAGAATGACGCACTCCTTCTATCTCACACCAATGACTCAATGACTCTGTGCAAGAAACCATGGAGTTCGCCACGTTAAATTCCAATGGACACGAAAAACGGATTTCATAGTATCTAAATGGCTTTTCAGTTCCAAACCTCTGCAATGCTACACTTACGTTTCACCGATTTATGCGAACCACACTGCGTGGACTCTTTCCGAAGAGTTGTATTACCTACACGACTGATAATCTCATCCATGGTAGGGATATCATTAGCGTAATTCCCAATCTTCGACAGCTGTTAAATCGTTTTCAGACGCCGGATTTACTTTAGTCTGAGAAAAATGGCTGTTTTTTAAAGCTTAGCCACCTTCTTGGGAAACATAATCCGGCCGACATTATTAAATGGCTACGAAAGACCGTACGGATCTCACTAATTAAACATATTTCTTCAGCTTTCTCAGTCATGCAAGATGTTACTGATGTTTAGTCAAAGGTTTTGCTAGGACCGTATAACGGCTACACGATTTAGGGAAGGTGGAAGTATAAATGAAGTTCCGCCGGAAGACTGAATTTATGAAAGCGGTTAAGAAGCCAAAACGCGCACTATGCGCGGCACTGATGCTTTAATAGCCAAAAATTGCGGCCAATTCTTACCTAACGTGCTGGGCACGGAAGCAAGCGACGTTTGAGTGGGCAGGGTACCATCACAAGAGCATAAAGGTGGACAAGGACTTACCATCGCCTAAAGTACTTCGTAGCAGAGCAAGAAAATGCAGAGAAGCTCGATCTGTTTGCCAAATATGCAGGGATCAGGAAACTAAAGTATGAACACACCGAATTCCTATTAATCCCCAAGCAGAAAATTAGGAGTGCTGCATAAGGCATGATACGCAATAGTGTGTCTAAAACATCCTTGGTAAGCGAGTGCAATTCCTTGTTTATGTGGCCACCTGATGTCAGGCTCTTTTGTGCGTGAGCTTAACTTAGGGCCAAGCTCTGCCCCAATCCTCTTTTTCACCTTGAAATACATGTGTTTAGCCCCATTCAATGGCTTCTTTTGCTTAGAGGAAAGTCCCGCGAACTCCGGACGTAATTGAATTCAAACGCTTTGCTCAAGGAGCCTAAGGAGAGCTGTCAAGGATCGTCGTATGTTTTTACTGGTAAGAGTTTGAGTTCAGGTTAAGCTTGCTGTGATGCTTTGTTTATGTTGCTATCTGATGTTTGGCAGTCACTTTGGAGTTTGACTGGCCCCTGTACACGTGGGCTGACCCTCGGGCCACGCTCAGCCTCCCTTTGCTCTGTCATTTTCGGAATACATGTTTTCAACCCAACTTATGCCTTCTACTACCCTATGGGAAGCCTCGGGACGCTACACCGATGGCAGCGGAAAGCGAACCCGGCATTTTTTAAACGACTTTGAGGTATATAGTGCTTTTGAAGACCATCTGCTGCAGCCGAGGTGGGATCCCTTTCTGCGGCTTGTTCTTGGTTGGTCGTTTGTTAAAGGCGAAATAGTGTCTGGGAAAATCTATTGTCTCACCGGCATCCTACGTTTGTGTTGCTAAACTTTGAAAATTAATCGACTGATTTCCGGAGAAGAACAATACGACCAGCAATGTTTCGATCGGATGATGCACTGGTTCAATGCATGCAGATACTCCAAAATCGGGTTCCCTTGGCCGGAAAGTCAAAACCTCTCTTTTCTCAACAAGAAGGATATAATTCAACCAGCAGACAAGACTGCAAAGGAATTCTACATCTTGGTGGAAAAATCCAGGATTAATAAGCGCATTCTGGCAATCATGAGCTATACATGCGTAGAAGGAAGTCTGACTATATCGAAGTGCAATA